GCCTGCTCCCAACTCCAGAGAAAGAATCCTCCATGCTGATGGCTTCATCAACTCGTAGGGGCCGCTGGACCTGCTGGCCATATTTACACATATAGCTAAGGGTCGTTGCATTGAAGAGGAGAGTACTAAGTAAGCGCATGAAAACAGTGCTCTAGTCAGTTTTCCTACTTGGAGAATATTCCTCAGATAGCTCCTCCTGGGTCATTTGCATTCTGCACCAATCAAAGTCTCACATTCTGAGACGGAACAAGGGAATCGGGTCCTCCTTACATTCAGGGTCTTGCTTATGCAGCCCTTCCCTAACCCAATGATGAACTATTCTCTTGTATTATCTCCAAATTCTTTTGAATTTCTTTTTCTTCCAAATATTTTTATTGATTTTTAGAGAGAGAGGAAGAGAGAGAAACATCCATCGGACAGTGCACATCCATTGGCTGCCTCCTGCACGCCCCCAGCCAGGCATCGAGCCGCAACCTCCCAGTGCCCAGGATGCCCGACCCCCTGCGCCATACCAGCCAGGACTTTTTGTATTTCTTTCTATGTCTACTGAATTCGCCTGGATTTTATTTTTATGTGTGCTATGAAATCCCCATGAGTTACTGATACTCTATGGGGAGGTCACTGATCTGTATGCTTTCCTTGTTTTGGATTTTGAGGACTTTTCAATATGAAGCCAAAATTTCTTTAGCTGAAGACAGTTTTATCTACTCTCCCCAATGTTTCACACTTGCCCTCTCTGTCCTCTCTACTCTGGTGTCAGGAAGAATCGTGTGGCTTATCTTCCCACTGCCTGCATTTGCGTCTACCCTGCTGTCAGTGTGATGGCTTAGGTTTATGTCATGGTGTTTTCAATGCCTAAGAACTGCTTTTTCCCTTACCAGTTTATTCTCTTTTTAATGGGCATGATGGCCTCCTAATCTCCTTCTGATTCCTGTACTGACATTTCCCCAAGGGTCACATACTGTTCAAGATGCTGGTTTTCCTTAGTGAGTGGAGACTCCGTATGGTCTGCTCACACCTGCAGAGGGCCCAGGGTGCAGGGCTGGTGTGACCCCTCTCCAGGCAGGGCTCCTGCCACGGGACACTGACGCATACACACATCAGTTGTAGACTCCGTGCTCTGCCACTGCCTTCTGCGGCCCAGGGGAGTCCCTCCAGGTTTTGAATGTCGGTGTGGTCTTGCCTTCCACGTGCCAGCTGCAGCCACAGTCCCTTCTCCAGTTGTATCACCTTCTTGCTGCCCTCCTTCTCTCCTCCACACCACATCTTCTAATATAAATGGCAAGGTTACAATCACACATTTCAGTTTTTTAAAAATATCTCTACTTATCCTGCTCTTTACATGTCTGCCTACTTTTGGCAGGCTCTCTTTGGACAGTGACCCACCCCACTGGGCTTTTCATTTGAGAGCTGAGGATTTCCTGTGCACTTCGAGATCAGAGCAAAAAAGGTAAAACAATGGCACAGATTTTTCATAGAAAAATGAAAACTGTTTTCTCAAAATTTTCACAAATACAGAGCAGAGGTTGCCCAAAATTGTTTCCTTGGAGTAAATCTTTTTCATAAATGCTTTTCCTTCATATCTCGTGTCAGATCCTTTTGCTTTGATAGAGTCTCTGAAAGGCCCCATATTAGTCTGTTTTCTCTTTATTCAACTGCATTCAGATTGTGTGTCCTAGAAACGGGCCAGGAGCTTCTCCTTTGTGCTGCTTTTCACCTGTGAGCTGTCACAGACTTTCTCTGATCTCCACCGAAGAGCCTGTTTCTGGTTCAATGATCGAATCACCTGAGGGCTGGGAGGAGCTGGCTTCCCAGGCAGGGGAACGTAGATGGGTAAACTCCAGAGCCAGGGGCCCCTCTGGAGCAGAAATGTCTGCTTCCTGTCTTCATAATACGCTCTCCTGCAAGCTCAGTGCTGTGGTCGCCCCTGCCCACTTCCACCAGGTCTCAGCATCCATGACAACCTTTGTCACCTGGGAAATGGCCATCACCGGTACCCCTAAAGCCAGGGGCCTGCTGTGATGCTGACTCAGACCCTTGCTCTTAATGCAGGGCATGAGGCAGGACCTCTAGGTCAGTCCCGAGTTCTGCCTCACTCAGAGCTGCTCCTCCTCGAGAGGCGCTCAACGGGGTCTCTGGGCGGCCGGGCCACAGGGCCCTGCATGGAGAGTACACAATCACGAGCACTTGCTACGTGCAGACACATATTTCTGATGCATTATTTCATCTGATCTTCACAAATCTATGACCGCTTGTAGATGAGCAAACGGAGTTGGGAGACAAGGAACTGCCGTGGCACAGCGTACAGACACTGGCAAAACCCGTGCTCCCACCGAATCTGCTTGTTTCTCAAGCTCCCGTGGCTAATCCCAGCTGTTTCAAAACTGCACAGAAGACTGAAAATAAATAAAAGGTGATGTCAATCAAGGGTGCTTAACTGGTGGGGTGATGGCTGATACCCCTTTATACTTCTGAGATTCCAAAGTTTCCATAATGGCTATGTTTACTTACATACACAGAAAAACCTAAGCGATGATGACCGGGAGGCTCCAGAGAAACAGGATGTCAGAACTGGTCAGGACTTTGTTCCAGAGATGCAGAAGCTAAGACCTGGACCGGCCACTTGGCTTGCCCGTGGCACAGGAATCGCGAGCAGAGGCCGCAGTGGAACCTGCGTTCTGGGCTCCGAGTCCAGCGCTCGTTGCGAGCTCCCGGGAGCTGTGCGGCTGCAGATCGGCACGAGCCAGGTCCACTGGCAAAGTGCAGGGCCAGTTGGGCAAACACAGGACGGGCCCCACAGAGCAAAGACGTCTACAGTCCTCAGCTCCTTGCCACGTAGTTCTTTTCCGTTATTTTACCTCGGTATCATCACGTACACTGTGCAGTTATGATCCTGACAAGTACTCGAGAGTCTTGGGCACAAACAGCTGGGTCACTGGCACTTGTCCTGTGACAGTGCTCCTCGCAGCAGCTCTGAGAAAGGCTCTCCAAGGCCCGTCTGAGGCCCGGCGGAGGGATCAAAGGCGGACATAGGCTGTTACATTTGCAGTACCAGTATTTCAGGCACGTGGTCTTCCGTTTTCCTTAATACTGATTTTCCACAAATATAAAAATAGTGAACTCATTCGGATTATCTGTGTACCAGTAAATCTGGATTATTCTGGCTGCAAGTGGCAGAATGCCCAAGGGACCTGGCTTACCCAGAACCACCACTACTGACGTGTGTACCGCAGTCTGAGCAGGCTGGCGTCAAGCACTCCTGGACACGGCTTCGGGTGGTATGGTCGGGATGTAGTTTCTCGGCCTGGATGGATCCATTCACATGTTACAGTTTCCTGAGCTGCTATGTATTTGCCAGGAGTTGCTCTCACAGCTCAGGTATAGTGGAGGGTGGCAAAGACAGGCAGGGACACATTTCCTGTTCTCCTGGACTGCAATTCTAATGGAGTGGCAAATCAACGATAAACACATCAACCAAAACTAAACAAGAACATGCACAACACAGGAGGTACTCAGGAAAAAGAGAGAAACAAAAACGGAGTGACACGTGAAGATGGTCAGGTCACTACGGTGGATTCGGTGGCCAGAGTCAGCCTTGCCATCCCTGCTGAATGCCGAGTGACAAAACAGAACCAGCCGTGCAGATGAGGGTGGACAGTTCAGGCCAAGAGAGAGGAAGCCCAGAGGTCCCAAGGCAAGGAAGGTCCTGGTCCATTTTGAGATATTTGTCCACCTTCATTTTATTCATGACAACTTGGAAAAGGAGTCTGTATTTAATGAGCAAATCTAAGAATGGTGAAAATGACAGAAGCTTCATTGAAAGTGGAGTCCAGAGGCCAGAAGAGAGATGTCATACCCGTGTCACTCTAGGCACACTACTGACCCCCACAGGAAGGACCCACCTGCATCTCTGGCAGGGCTTGGTTCTACCTGTGTGCCTCAGCAGGAGGAAGGAGAGATGCCTTCTGGCCCAGTAACAGCTCAGCCAATGAAAAGTCACTACACTTCGAACTTCCAGTTTCCTCCAATGGACTCTTCCTTTACAACAGCTCCTCGCAAGTCCATAAAATATTCTTCTCCTTTGTTTCACATGGTTTGCCATTAGACCACATGTCCCGGATTGCAACTCTTTCTTGTTCCTGAATAAACCCATTTTGTTAGAGAACTATCTGTCTATTTAAGGTCAACAGGATAGATTTTCTTTCCAAAGTCTCCACAGTATCTTCATTGTAAAACCAGTAAGAAAATGCTTTTTCCAAGGGAAACGGAGTACCTTGAGAACATTTTCTTGAAAGTTCATGCGAGGCCTGGCCTCTTGAGGCATAATAACATACTTAAAATACACTCAGTAAGATCCTTCGTTGAAAAAATAAAATTTCCAATGCATGTACATTTGAAAAAATAATCTCCACTTAAATGCTTATTTTGACGTTGTGCCCAGGATCAACTGCAAAAGCGCTTCTGTTTAGAAAGCATAGTTCAGCCAAAATCCAGCTAGTTTTTTAGGAACAAGGACCTGGAGGAGAAAACTCGGAGAACACAAGGCGCTGGGCAGACGCGAGCGTGCGCGCATCTGCAGGACTGCCTATGACGTGGGCCTGCAGGACACTCCCGAGACGCGCTCCCTGCTGTGTGCAGGCCCAGCTGGCCAGGGGAGCCAAGCCCAGAGGGAGGAAAGGCTAGAAAGGTAAGGAGGGGGCAGAGGGGAGACCACTTAGCCCAGGGTCCACGTCATGTCAGCTCTCCATTTCCGACACCGGGACAGAGTTGAGACAAGTGATTTGTACACAGGGGGCTGAAGTACTTGGCTAATCCAATTTGAACACTGCTTTTCCCGTCTGGAAGCGCCGGGCCAGGGTCCTGGGGCACGGACGTGCTTTCTGGTCTGCCTCCCTGGGCTCCTGCATTTGGTCCCCGCCAGGACCCGTCCAGGCAGCATCCTCTCAATCTCCCACTCCCCTTGAATCCAGACACACACTCTCCTAAATCACTGTTACCATTTACTCCTACTGGTTTATTCTCGCTTGGTCTCTTACACCCTCTCAATTGCCGTCTCTGCAGAGAAACCAGCATGGCTATGCCATCCAACAAGCCAAGGGACTGTGATAAACCAGAACTGAACACATGGAGCCCTCAGCCTCCCAAATGCAGGAAGGGCACTACTGGTTGACTTCAAGTAGTTTTCAATCACGCAGGAGCTGAAGGCTGTGACTTCCCAGAAAGGACCGTCAGGGCAGCTCCTGTAGCATCAGCTCTGTCCCGTCCTGCTGCGCAGGCCTCCGAAGTCCCCCATGTCACCACTCAGATGGTCGGGCAATGGTCTGGGTGTGGCTCTCTAGCACAGCTGCCCACCAGGTCACTGGCCGTCTGCTGCCTGGCCAGCGCCACGCTCAAGGTGTTGGCACCCAGGTGTAAGCCCTGCAAACAGGAGACGGCCTGCTGGGCTGCGGCTGGATCCTGGTAATGGAGGAAGGCCCTGTGCTGCAGCCCCTGCCAGGTGAGCCGCAGGGGGGCTGCGCCCCGTCCTCTGAGGGCTCTCTTCAGCTCGCTCACTCGGGTGTCCCGGGGAAGGTTCCCAACGTAAACAGTGTTAGAGGGCACATCCCCCGCCTGCACGGGACCTGACTCCTGCGGGGGTGGGTCGCGGGGTCTTCTCACAGTGCCTGGCGGAGCTGTGTGCTGGCTGTGCGGTTCTGGAAGGTGCTGGTGCTCATCCTGAAGGGTGACATCTTTCCCAGCCTGCTTCTCTCGGGAGCGGAGGCTTCTGAGTATTGGGATTCTCCCCATCATCTCACAGCTGATCTGAAAGAGTAAAGCAGTTCCAGCCATTCTCAGGGTGTCCACAAGGAACCACAGCTCGGTCACGAGGGAGGAGAAACGACAGTCCCACAGGGGCCTCTGCCCCACTGCTCTCAGCCACCACCCTTACCTGTGCGTCAAGCCACGTGCAGCAGTGAAGAGATGTGCATGGTCCCACCTGGCCCTCTGTGATGCGGGTCCCCCACCCCCAGCTTCAGACAGGCCATGGCAGCTGGCAAGAACGGGCAGCTTTCTCTAGTCTCCGAGCGGCCCAGAGAGCGGGGAACCGAAGGCCTCCTACATGGAGGGGGAGCAGCTAAGGTCCTAGTGTGAGGGTTACAGGCTCACAAATGGCACCTCCCTGGGGGCTCCCCAGGATAATGGGGTTTTCTGCCTCCACACCTGTCCCCTCCCCTTGACCTATACCATGGGGCAGGATGAGAACTTTAACAGGCCACAGGGATCTCCTCCTCCTCCTCTCCACGGAAGGAGCAGTTCCCAGAGAACTGTGTCACTGAAACATGGAGCCAAGGCAAATCTGAAATAGAACACTACCTTTAAAACAGTTCTAGCGATGAATCTAAAATAACAAATACCACACACACACTGTCTTGATGAACAGGACTTCTATACAAAAGACATCTTTGGCTCTTTGGCCTAATCAATGAACAACTATCTCCCGAAACCTCCCACAAAGGAAGCGGTAGGTGTCCCAGTGAGTGAGGCTCAACCATGGAGCCTGCCTGGACAGGCTGGCACTGCCTCTCTCCGGCCTGCAGTGGGAGACTGCTGGCTCCGCCCTGTCCTGGTGGGGCAGTGCCCCTGGGGCTGCCCTTCAGGTCCGGCTGAGCCTGGACAGCTGAGTCCGGGGCAGAACTGGTCTCATATTATCACAGGAATCCAGGAGGCAGAAAAAAATCAGAAAACACTCTTTAGTCCTTTCGATGATCCTTATTCTTTAATGATGCTTTCTGTCTTTCTTTTGGGCATGAAGATTGTAAATGATTCATTACAAAGAGGCAAGCAATGGTCCAGACACGAGCTTCCCCCAGACGTGGGCATGCCAGGCACGTCAGAGGACCAGCCTACAAATAGGTGCATTCTTGCACAAAAATAAATTGCTTCTTTTTAATTTTATTGATTGATTTTAGTTTTGAAAGAAAGAAAGGGAGAGGGAGGGAGGGAGGCAGGGAAAGAAGGAAAGAGAGAGAGAGATGTGCCCTGACTGGGGATCAAACCTGCAACCTTGCCCTGGCCGGTTTGACTCAGCGGTTAGAGCGTTGGCCTGCGGTCTGGAGAGACCCGGGTTCGGTTCCCGCTAAGGGCACGTACTTCGGTTGCAGTTTGTCCCCGGCCCTGGTCGGTCGTGTGGGTGGCAGCCACTCGATGTGTCCCTTTCACGTCGATGTTTCTCTCTCTCTCTCTCCCTCCCACTCTATCTGTACAAAAATTGCAAAAATGTCCTCGGGTGAGGATAAAAAAAAAAAAACAAAAAAACCTGCAACCTTGGCAAATCGACGATGCTCTAACCACCTGAGTTACCCGGCCAGGGCAGAAATAAATAGTGTAACTAGCATCAGTGTTCTCGTTATATTTAGAATCATATGTAACTTAGAGTGATGGTTCTTATCTTTGGCAGGGTGTCAGGGACCTTTGAGAGAAGTTGGGGTTCCCTCCCTCGGACTCCCCCACAGTTCTGTGTACAATTTTCCAATGTGTGTTCATGGACTTCCGAACCACAAAAAGTGCACAGGCCCTGGGTTAAAAATACACGAATCAGAGGAAGAGTTAAAGAAACACAAACACCTAAGAACAGCCAAGGGCCGGCCTGCAGTCTTCATTCAGTGCCTAGTCCTAAGTGCACAAGACTCCCCACCCCAGTGAAGCCTTCCTGCGGGCCGGAGCCCTCTGTGGGCGGCACTCGCTGTCCACGTGGTCTTCACAATGGCACAGACCCTCAGCTGTGTGCCACGGAAGGGTGTTCCCCACAAGGACTTGCTCTGATGCCGCCCATGCTCAAGGAAAAGGAACCACCTGACACGCATGCACCCACAAGGTGTGACTGCTCTTTCCTAACCGGAGGGACTTTTCTTTCACCCACTGTCCCTCTGCAATTCTTCCTAACCGATTCATCCAAAGGGGATTAAACTCAAAGGCCTGTACCCTAGAGGTTCTGGGTCCCCCCAAAATCATCTAAGTCCAGCCAACCCAACTTCTTCCCATTCCCCCACTCTACCTTCCTAAAGAGTTCAGATTCTTGTGTTCTTCCAGAGTATTTAAAAAGCGATGTAAACGAGTTATAATTCGATCCTTAGGTTCCTACATCTGGTATTTTGAAAGAACGACCAGATCGGAAGCTGCACGTGTCAGCGGAGCAGCGCGATGACACCTAGATGGAAGAACTCAGTGCAGCCCGCTCCAGGCGGCACGTGTCAGCGGAGCAGCACGACGACGCCGAGATGGAAGAACTCAGTGCAGCCCGCTCCAGGCGGCACGTGTCAGCGGAGCAGCGCGACGACGCCGAGATGGAAGAACTCAGTGCAGCCCGCTCCAGGCGGCATGTGTCAGCGGAGCAGCGCGACGACGCCTAGATGGAAGAACTCAGTGCAGCCCGCTCCAGGCGGCACGTGTCAGCGGAGCAGCGCGACGATGCCGAGATGGAAGAACTCAGTGCGGCCCGCTCCAGGCGGCATGTGTCAGCGGAGCAGCGCGACGATGCCGAGATGGAAGAACTCAGTGCAGCCCACTCCAGGCGGCATGTGTCATTGGAGAAGCATGACGACGCCGAGATGGAAGAACTCAGTGCAGCCCACTCCAGGCGGCAGCAGCGGGGCCCGGCAGGCCCCCGGGCAGACCCACGCCCGAGCTGTCGGCCGGGTGGCCGCCCCAGAAGTACTGTAGCCCCCGTGTGTTCTTGCCCGGTGGCTCCACAGAGCTCCCTCGGGCAGAAACCTGACCCATGGGGCAAGGCGCTACACTCAGGCAGCTGAAATTCATTTTAAAACATGTCATGTGAAGCAAAAATACATTCTTCTGCACACTTCACAGGGCTGGCACACGTACCAACTGTGATCAGCTGAAGAAAAATGAAAATGCCTTAACCACACATTATGCACCGACCAGAAGTCTATATACCGCCACACGGCACATGCACAGGGACCTTTAGCAACTGAGATGCACAGACGCAGGCTTTTCTGTAAAACTGCTGGTTTCCAGGGCAATATGTTTACGGGGTAAAGGACTGACAAAGCTTACGTCGCTGTACTCTTCCACACTCCCCGCCAAGTTCTAAACGGAAAGGTCTCCGGGCTTCGAGGCGGTTTTGCCAGCTGCCTGCCATTGCTGCACTCTGCGGAACGGCTCAGGTTGACCGAGCTCCCACAGCCCACAGAAAGGCCTCTGTGAGCCAACCGGACAGGCTGCACTCGGGACAGGGCCACTGCGGTGCTACTGTTTTTCCTGGCTGGCAATTAGGAACATTTGTTATATGTTGTCAACTTGCCATGTGCAATGAAAGATTTTGCTTGTTAATCAAACATTAAAAAAAAAAATATTTCCGCCCTTCTGTAACTAAAAAAATAGTATAAAGCAAATTTGATTTTCTTTTATATGCTATAATCACGCTTCACTGAAGTATATCGGTGTCAGTCACTTATAAATATGTATTCTCTTTCATGATGAAATTAAAAGCCTGTCCCCTACAAATACATGCTCAGTCACAATAAATCAGAACCTGACTCTCAAGCCATCTGCTGCCAACCCAAAAAGAAGAGACCTGGGTTCTAAACTTAACTCAGCTACACAGTGGCTTTGGAATTTGGGGTAAGTTGCTTTCCTTCCGGTTCTCACTTTACTTGACCAGAGATAAGGAGACAGGATGGGTGATCTTTCAAGTCCCTCGTTCTAAAATGCTGGGGCATGTCTGAGCAGCTGGCAGAGATAAACAGAAAGCCAGAAGTATTTCTAATGGCAGCTCTCACCAAAATGACTAGCTCTCTAGCAGGAGGCTAAAGCTTATTCACTGATGAAACACGCTCTGCGGTCCCTCCAAATGCCTAAGGTGAAACAATTCTAGAGCAAGCACACTCGGAAGAGTACGAAGCCAGAAAAGGTGTTGCCTTCCACAGACACCCACAGATACCTTGAAGCTTCCCAGTGACAGCTACCCTTCAGTATACACTATAAACCAGTTGGCCAATAAATTCACGTAATTAGCCCTCCCCAGTGTCCTGGTCATTTCTTCCATGTACAGCTAGATGTCCAGCAGAAGGAGATCTTGAACATGGCCGCTTATCAGAATTCCACAGGTTCGTCAACTAGACTCTCAAGCCCAGGCCTGGAGATAGGGCTTCAGGAGCGGAATTGTTCAAAAGTTCCCGGTAACCCTAACATGCGGCCACCCCAGCCTGGGGACAGCTGCCATGCCAGATGGAGAACACAGTAAGAGAGGAGATGCCTCTAAGCTATGGCCCAGAGCTGGCCACCGGATGCCGTGGCTGCCCTCGATGCCATGTGGTGACCCACCTTAGACCATATGATCCCTGCTGGCTTTGGGCGCGCACACCCCGTGGTGATGACTCTCGTGGGAGTGAGAATATAGTCCACGGTGAGGTCGTGATCCTCGAGGAGCGCTTCAGGTATGTCGACGACCTGTCACACAGAAGTGGGTAAAGGAGCTGACGGGGAGTCTGGCTCCAGTTGTGCCCGGTGCGCTGCTCAGTGCGCTGCTCAGTGTAGGTACGACACTGGCCCAGACCCACTGGAGACGAGGCCTGGCTGTCGCATCACTCAACAATTCCGGCCCAGCTGACCAACACCGCTCACGGCAGCAGGGGTGAAGTCTTTCTCTCTCCCCACCCTTCCCGCTCTCCCTCTCCCTTTCCCTCCCCCCAGTGGAGCACGGCAGAGCCTCTCCTGGGCCACGGGCAGCACCTGGCAGTCATGGACGATGGTGACCACTGGCGTCCCCTGGCTCACTGCTCCCATCGACACCATCATGGCATATTCGAGATCAGCATAACCTTCTCCCTTCCCAATTCTCCAGCCTGAGAGACAATGCAGAGAATCAGGATCTCTGTAAGGCCTGGGGAATCATTCGGGAGTAAATTTTTCATTATGCCACAATGAAAGGAGAAACTTGGACCCATATCCCTGGCCCTGGCGCAGAAACTAACACAGTAACCACATAGGCAGCCCACTGAAAATGGACTTACGGGACTCAAAGAGGAATAGCAGCGCTGAATATGTACAGTGGTTAACACACAATTAAGTCAAACCTTTCACACATGCTACCAAAGGAAACTAAGCTTGCATTTATGTGCACTTTATGTTAGTGGGACTACATGTGAAAATAATAAAGAATTGTTTTTAAAAGGACTAAAAACAATGTCCTACTAGAGGCAAAATCTTTTTCGTCTCTTTCCCTTGAAAGGAAGATAACAACGCTAAAATCAGAGATATGTGATTTTAGAATGGCACAGCCTATTTTGTAGCTACCCAATTCAACCCACCAGTTCTTGAAGGAGGATGGTGTGAGCAGTACTAGCTATTTTTGCAAATTTGTAAATGGTGGCACAACAAAGGGATTATTACCTAAAACTAAGCAGGAGGAAAGAATGCAGCAAGACAGCAAACATTACAATGCCTCTGGCTCCCAAAATGAGCCTATACACTCAGGAGCCCATAACAGTGTAGAAATTCTGACTTCTATTTAACATCAGCGTCAGCATCAGCACCAGCACTGAGAGTTTAAGTATCACTGCTCGTGCATCTAAGATTCAGATCTAATCATGCTACTTGTGCAATTAAAAGCCTTCAGCAGTGCATGCAAAGAAATAAGAGAAAGACAATTCAATAAAAAAATAGCAAAGGGTGTGAACAGTCTACAGAAAGAAACAGGCAGATTAATAGCATGAGAAACATTCAGCTTTACTCCTAACTGAATGCAAATCAAAAGGCACATGAAATAACATCAAATGGGGACAAAATTCAAGTTGGACGATTCTAGTTATTAACAAGGGAGCAGGGAGAGAGGCAAGACATATGGTGCTGGGGATGCGAGGTGGGCAAACTTTCGAGTGGGTAATCTGGCAACATCCATCAGGATTTAAAATCTACCCTTCGGTTCAGCAATTCCTCACCCATGGATAGTTCCCGAAGGCCCATGCAGGCCACATGACAAGACAACAGCTCTTTCTAGCGCTATTCATAAGGGAAAAGCCAAAACCAAACCCTGGAGATAACTAGCTGTCCCTTAGCCAGGGCCACGTAACAGGTCGGCCTGCCCGCGCTGACAGCAGAGGCCCTGGAGACACGTCGTCCGCATCGCTGCAAGTGCTGCTGTCCCTCCCGTGAAGACACAGGATGAACACACAACCCACGCAGAATACACGCGACACCTGCATCTCATGGGGCGTGGGTGTCCATGTACACAGACACAAGAAACTGCCGAAAGTGGGGATTCGGGAAAAGTAAGAAGGACGTGCAGAGGTGATGCCCTCTGTGCCATTCAAAGGCATGCAACAGTGGTTTTGTCGTTTCAATCAGGTGGTTATCTGGGTGAGGAGAGTTACAAAGCATTTTTTTCTTCTTCATACATCCAAAGCTAAAGAAGAAAACTCCTGCTAATCTTCTGAAAGAAGTCTCTGCTAACTTTCCATCGCCAGAACAGTGTAGCCCCAATGCCATCACCTAGCCTGAAGGCTCCAGGGAAGCGGGCCCAACCAGCAAAGGGCCCTGCTGCACAAACGCGTCCCTCCTCCCCCACTCCTGCTCCACCTGCAGACCACTGCATGCAAGCACTTCTGAGACGATGCCCTGCCACTCAGGCTGCAGGCTCACAGGCCCTCCTCCGACCCCACTGATGTCATCCTAACTCCCATTTAGGACACTCAGCGCATGGCCCTGCAGTTCAGCTGCTGCCTGCTCCTCCCACTCACTGTGGGTGCAGGGCAGAGACGACCTTGCCGGCCTGGCTCCTGGCCCATGGTCAGCATGCAGGAAAGGTGTGCTCAGGTGCACCCATCCCTGATGACACAGATAAAATATCTGTAACTGTGCACAGGGAAAGCAAAAAATATAGAACTACAACATCTTGCCTGGCCAGTGTGGCTCAGTGGATTGAGCATCATCCCATGGACTGATAGGTCCCGGTTTGATTCCCGGTCAGGGCACATGCCCGTGTTGCAGGCTCGATCCCCAGTAGGGGGTGTGCAGGAGACAGCCAATCAATGTATCTCTCTTATTGATGTTTCTATCTCTCATTCCCTTCCTCTCTCTCTAAAATAATCAATAGAGTCCAGCTGATGTGGGTCAGTGGTTAAGCATCGACCCATGCACCAAGAGGTCACCGGTTTGATTCCCGGTCAGGGCACATGCCCAGGTTATGGGCCAAATCTCCAGTGGGGAGCATGCAGGAAGCATCCAATTGATGTTCTCGCTCATCGATGTTTCTATCTCTCTCTCCCTCTCCCTTCCTCTCTCTCTAAAAATTAATAAAAATAAATAAATAATAGAAATCAATAGAAACATATTTTTAAAAAAAGGAATGACAGCATCTCACATACTAGCTCAGAGAGATGGGGAAAGACAACTTAAGGTGAAGACATTAAAGACAAGCATTTAAAAAGACCAAGCTCAATAACTTAGTGCATCTCTTACCAACTATTTCCTGGGAACCTCTCCTGAAAAAAGAACTTGACTTTAGCCAATTAATTTTCAGAGAGAGCTTTGGGGATGAGCATCTTAGGACCGTATCCTTTTTTATCTCTTGGGACCCCAAATCACACTGTATAAGTGCAAGTCTGAGATGGGCTGACCCCACCAAGAACTAGCAGACTGATTTCAAGAGCGTCAGCTGGGCCCGAGGCAGAGCAGCGCAAGGGGAAGAGGCCCTTGGGAACCAGTCTGAGGGTGGCTGGGCAGAGCGCCCTCACCTGCCGGCACAGCAAAGCAGCAGCCTCGCAGGCAGGCGCGGGGTACCCCAGCTTGTCCAGGAGGCTGCTTCATAACAAAAACAAGGCTTAGTACTTAATGTTTTTCCATTTACTGGAGGCTCTCCAAAACCAACTATTTACTGACATACTGCAAATAAATTCAGCTCCAGTTCCAGTTAACTGAAGAACAGAGGGAAAATCTTTCACCACCTGAAGAGAGTTATCTCACTTTATTTTTCCTGTTGAGAAGAGTGAAAATACTGTAGAAGTGTTGAGTGGGGCCAGGAGTGGGAGGGACGGAGTTAACTCTTCAAAATGAGCCCTAGACGTACTGGCTTTGGGAGCCAGGCATGCGTCCAGAAAGCTGAAATTACTTTCTGTCACCGTCTAACAGACGGACGGAGAGCTGGTGGAACAGCAAGCTGCAGGGTAAGTGGTTGCATCTGTGAGTTTCTGTTCTTAATCTTACCTTTTTCAGAAACGGCAACGGACCCCACCACAACTAAGTCCACAAGGACCCTGGAGTCCAAGCCCACGGGAACGCTGTGGTTCCTCACGCCCTGCGGACAGAGACAGGGACCTGAAGGCTTTCCCGGCGCGAGCGGCTGCCCCGCCTCAAGCCTCGCAGGCAAGAGCAGCCCGAGTCTCGATCAAGCTCCCGCGAGAAGCAAACACACGGGCAGCCCTGCACCAAAAGCACGGCATTGCAGAAACGGCATTTCGGGAAAACCGTTTTAGGGTAATCTCCCACGATTTCCTCCCCAGGAAAGATGCCAGGAGGACCTGACAGCACAAATACATAGGACAGCAATTTCATGATTTTTAGCAAATCATTTTCCCCCATGACACAGAAGAGCACAGTGATTAGATCGCAGGCTCGGGAGTCTCGCGGAACTGGGTCAGATCCCTCTGCCCAGTGACCTCGGCAGCAGGAAGCTCTTTGAGCTTCCGTTCCTGCGTCTTTAAGACAGAGACACCACTCCAGGACTTGTCGGGCTGGTGTTACAATGAAATGATGTCACAGAGGCAAAGCATTTGCTACATAAGACATGGTCAGTAAACATGAATGCCATATTAATTCAGTATGAAACGTTGGAGGCCATCATCTTCTTGTATAGCACACTCACTTCTGAAATATCACTTGTTCAACCAAAATGCACCAAAAGTACACCCCTGTGTACTAACTAACGGGGGCCCATATTTAACGAACAGGGAAGCTGATATGGTCGTGGTTCTGATAACGAGTGCTGCAGGTGTCTAGGAAGTCAGACTGGGCCATGTATGGAGCAGTATCGGGCAGAAGCGAATTGCTGGGTATGGTATTTACCCCTGTCCCCTGTCTACAAGTATATGACAAGCCACTTACACGATCAGTGCATGTGCTCAGTTTGGGGGACTCCCAACAAACTAGGCAACGGCCCCCGTGTTCCCACTGTGGGAAAGCCTGTCCTTTCTTAATCTCACAGTGGCCGTGGAGGCAGGCACCTCATGTCCACGGCCCTTGTCCCCAACTCGATTTTAATGGGCTCAGTGTCTGGCAGCCTTAGTGAGCAGACAGCTGTGTGGGGTTTTCTGTGTTGTAACTGTCAAAATTCCTCTTCGTTGTCGGTCAGCCTCACCTGCTAAGTCCAGCCAGACAGAGCATGGGCGACCAGGAGTCTCTTGATTTCCCTAAGTCATATTCAAATAACAAGAGTCATGGATGGGCAGAAGGACTTATCATGAGATTAACACAATTTTCTGCCTATAGGGGAGGTTACATATGTCAGAGTAAATACAAAGACAACGATGACAGACAGGTGCTTAGGGCATGACGGTGGCAGGGGGCCGAGGTGGTGAGGGACAAATCCAGACGTGTCTGCTAAGAAGTAAGGCTGTCAGAGCCTCCTAGAGCAGACATGCACTGCGGCAGCATTTCTACAGCCAGAGTAACGACCACACTGAGATTTGCATCTGCATGCACACGTGGCCTTCCGTGTCTCTCTCCACTTCCATTATTTTCCTGATGCCAGAAAGTAAATGCAAATTTTCTTGAGGTTCATAACTTTGGATCCATTATCTCATGTCATACAAAAGCCCAAACTCTGCTGTTCAATCCCTACCGAAGTTCAGTCACAAGAACGGGTCAGGCCTTCCGCTGGGCCCTGCTGTACTTTCAGAAGTGCATGTGCGGGGCCACCCGGCCTGCGCTTCCTGGGGAACTCCTGGCAGTGAGCAGAGTGGTGGTCCCCTTTCAGAGGCAAGGGAGCTGTTTCGGGTGACGGACCAGACCAGCACCAAACCTACGTCTGACCTGGACCTTGATCCCAGGAAAACACGGCTGTTACTGTCATGAACCTGTGACTTACAATTGATCACATCCCCTGTTGCTCTAAGAAACATGGGCTCAGCTCTGCAGCCTACATCGCTGACGGCAGAGGATCACAGGGTTCATGTCCCAGCGGTGACCAGAACCTTGCTGCCTCTTGTTCTCTACCCTCGTTTCCCCTTACTCCCTTCCCACACATATTGTATTGTTTTACTTTAGAAGTATTATTGTAAACCACATCAAATCTACTTTTGGAATAAAACAGGTTATCAATAAGTAACAATAAAGCATTCCATTTTTATACATTAGACTTAAGTGAAAAATCCCTTTAAAAAAGGAATATCTTAACGCTGTATTTTTTATTCCAGTAGATTAAGAATCAAATGGCTTGGGTCTAACTCTAGGAGTCTGAAAAACCACCAAATTCTATTTCTTCATCTGTCAACTACAAGACAAATTCCATTATAATGCACCCTAATGTAATACTTACACACTGTGGTTTTACTACATTGTGAGGCATTCAAGAAAATCTTATAAACAGTATAAGATATCTATATATATTCTTATATATATGATTCATCTCTACACACACACACACACACACATATACACACATACATATGTATATATAAGCAATCATTAATTTAGAACTAATGAGGCCATTTCCAATTGAACATATTTTAGAAATTCTACCGTGTCCCCAGTTGCTCTGTTGGCATTCAATAAAACGCTCCAGAGTGCTAAACAACATCAAGGATTAACACTAGAGGGCGCCAAAGTACCAGATGACTTGTTTTTCTTTTCCTTTTTAAACAGAATTTATAATTTGCCAGCTTGGTGCAAAATAGAAACCAAGTTACAATAATGGATGGAACCCGTGTACTCAGTTTTTCTACTTGTCTCCCTTAATGACAGGACTGCTGAATACTTCAACATCGCTGTTCATTTGACTTTGTTAAAAATAAATTTCAAACTCTGTGGTGTACTGTATGTGTTCTAAGTCACCGGAAGTTGCAGCTGAGAACAGTTCTTTCCTCGGCGAGTGACTTGCTTCTTGCTTCTTGCACTTACCTGAGAGGTGGCACATTTTCTCAGGACATCTTTAGACGCCCCAGGGGGTGGTGTGATCTTATTAAATAACCCGGTTCGCAGTCGTGGTGTCGGCACCAACAATGTTTTTTGGCTCTTTTAAAAGAAAGACAATCAATAAATTACAAAATGAAATAGGGACTTTCTTGCGTACGTTTCTAACGTTTCAGGAGTGGAAGCAAGTTACTATTAACTGCAGGTTAGTGGTGGGTGCCCACGAAATTAGTTGTTGGCAAACAAGTAAGTAATGCATGGCGGTTGACTTCACGCGAGCCTCTACTCCACCAGCCTTGGAATTAAAGTAGGAAAGCAGAGCATTCGTTAAACTCGCTAATTCTACTACACTTGCCAGTGAAAACTGTTACAGGTGTAAAATGACAACACAAATCCAAACAAAGGTTTGTTCTTATAAAACTTCCAACCATAACTCTCCTCTGTCCCCTGTTCTCAGCATTGAGGACCATACAGTCACTCTTTTAATTTGACACTGGTAGCTAGAGCTACATTATTAATGTTATTCCATCAAGCATTTATGTCTAGTTTGCTGTTCAATAAATCACAAGCTAAAAGGTCAGCACTTGATATAATCAATCTTTTACTTTGATCTGTGTCAACAGCTCTTTCCGGATTATGAGTGCCAGAGGACACAGGGCTTCTCAAAGTGAGGGCCCTGCGCAGCCGCGGAAACCCCTGGGTACTTGTTAGAAATGGTCAGCAGCTCCGGGGGTGGGCCCAGCCATCTGCTTTACTAAGAGGGCATCTCTGTAGATCACCCAGGGGTAGGCCATGAGGCAATCATAAAATTTCTAAAAAGTTTTGTGTAAATAATAGTATATTTTAGTTTTTGTGCAGGAGATGACAGCCTGAGACCAATAAAAGACCTATAAAATCACAGTTTGGCTTATTTAAATAAAGGTTTTTCACCCACAAGAGAAGAGTGATGACCACATACCATTTTCCTTTTGAGTGTTAAATAATTTGGGTTCATTTCATTTGCAGTCTCCAGATGACTCTGGTACCCTGCAGATTGATTAGTTACTCCCTCCTTTCTGGAAGCTGCTCACACACAGCTCAGTGGATCTCAACCCAAGGTCCAGACCTGCTCAGAGCCTCTGACTTGAAGCCGACATTGGTACCGAATGCTCTCCCCAGCTCCCCAGAGGGCCTAACATGCAGCGAGGTTCGTAACTGCAGCCCTAGGTATATTTAAAACGCAGAGAAACCAAGTCGAGGCCTGGGGTTGAGCCTGGGAAGCTGTGCAGCCCCAAGCACAGGCCAGTGTCCCCAGGTGTGGTCTGTGGTCACGTGCAGCACCATCATTGCCTGCATCAGGTGGGACTGGAAAACCTGCAGTTTTACCTGCTTCCTAGGTGAGTCTTAACCCACTCAAGTTTCCGGAAACCACTGATGAGTCCGTAGCCCTAGAGCATAAGGACCGCAGGTGTCCCTGTGCCCGGCACAGTGCCTGAAATACAGCTTGGCTATTTCCCCTAAATAAAGTAACAGTGAGGACTCAGCTGTTCCATCCTGTCTCCTGGCTGCACTCCTTCCACAGACCAATCTAAAATCTCCAACACATTCAAGGCCTTTGATTTCGTGCTGAAGGGCGGACAGGAAAGAGCCCTCTAACCCTCCCACATGCAAAAAGCTGGCTCTGGTCACACAGTGGATCAGAATCGCGGTTCCACCATTCCTGACATGTGATGTGGGCAAGACACCTGACGTCTCTGGTTTCTTCAATGTCCTCTGGGAATACAGATTGCTCCTATAGGGTTGTCAGTAGGATTAAATGAATATAGGAAAATGTTTAGATAGAATTGTGCCTCACATATAACTGCCCACTGTGGGTCCTTCACTGCTGCTGCAGCTATTATTACCTCGAGTTCATTAAAGTGACGTAGTGACAGGGAAAATAAGGCTGACAAAAAAGAATGCTGCCAGGTGAGCCTAAACCAGAGGCCCCCCGTGGCTGACCCGCAAACAGAAGACAATGATTTTCTACGCCAGAGAGTTGAAAAAAACAGAGCAGGACCCCTACACCCTCCTCATTCCCTGCAAAATTACTTTCTGCTCTTCATTTCACCACGTGATGAGAGGTGCCCTGCATACCCAAGGCTTCTCGGGGGCTGTGGCAGAACCGAGTCACCACTAGGGGCTGGGAGCACGAGGCAGGATTCCAAGGGCCTGCACGGCGGCATTCAGCACACGTTCCCGTCAGTGATTTGTTTCAGCAAAACAACATCACCCATTACATAAAATTAGTGGTTGTTTGAATGTTATTGCTTTTATAGTTTTGTTTGTGCTTAATTTATATACTTATTTTTGCTTTATTGTTGCATAAGAGCTATAAACATTAAGATGTATAGGATATTTTAGGTTTATACTTATTGAATTTTAATACATTAATTTAAAGCAACCCTAGAGAATATTTTCTTGAAAGGGGGACTATGTAGTTAAGAAACATTGTTCTAATTTATATATTTTGGGGGTTCCTTACTCGTGGGTTATCCCATTTCAAAGAACTGTAGTATTATATTAGAGAAGGAGCAGAAGAAACGTATTGCAACCTTCCCCTCCGATGAAGCTCGCCAGAACCGAGACTGCCTCAGCGCCATCATTCTGCACGTCCTTTCTCTCTGACTTCCAAAACATTCAGGACTTCTGACTGCTAAGCAAGTGACAGACGCTTGGACTGGTCTTAGAAAAACAACTCCAGGGCACGTGCGTGGGAGGAACTGAGAAGCACCAGCCTTGTAAACACAGGACGCAGGCATTTACCAGCCACCTGGAGACTGCCTGCCTTCCCTCCACGGCCGCCAGGAATTACCTGCAGTGCCAGCAGCCGGACGCCTTCCAGCGGTTTATCGGGGTCCACTTTAACTTCCTGCGTTCTGGCAAAAATGTCGAGGTCTTTGATGCCTTGGCAAGCCAGATAAGAGCCCTGGTTAGGCAAACAGACAGAGTTGCACTTACGTCGAGGACGAAGAAGCGAGCATTTTTCTGGGGAGCATCAGGGTTGACTTTAATGGTTCTGGCCATTTTGAACGCCTGCAAGCGTGGGAGATGCTCAGCAGCACGAGGAGCACCCTGTGTTCAAAGGCAAGTGCACATTACCGGGGGGACAGCTGCAGCCTGGGCGTTTGCTCCAGCATCCCACCAGGCAGGCGGAAGCACTAATTGTGAAACAAGATGTAAATCACTCAAAGAAACATCTAAGGAAGCAGTCAGGCTAGAAAGGGGCTGAGAGAAAACATACACCCGGAAAAGTGTACAAATCATGTGTAAGCTTAATGAATTTTTACAAAATGAACACACCTGTGCAACCACCACCTCAGCCAAGACACAGCATATAAATCAAGGTGAGAGCACGAACTGGGAACCCCATCCCTCTCCTAGTTGATTTCCTTTGGAAGGATTATTATGATTCTGTGTGCCTTTCACCTTTTCGCTGTATTTCATGTACATTTATCTCCCTGGAGTAAAGAAGTAGCAACAAAAACTATCCCCAAAAAACAGTTTTTCAGGCCAGGATGGCCTCGAAAGCAGCTCAGCTCAGGACCAGAGAAGGGCTGGCAGGGACTTGCTTCTCGGAAGCCAGGCTGGGGAGGGTCTAGCCAAAACGGGGTGATGGCGAGCAGATGGGCCAAGTCCTTCGGGCCTGACAGGGCAATCAGTGTATTTTCAAAAATGCTCTCTTTTTCTCTTGAAAACATGTATAAGCTGTGTATGCTGCCTTTTTCAAGCACCTTCTTCTATGAATACTACCATAAAGAGACATCTTTGATTGTCTTCTATTCTGAACAGCTGGGAAACTGAGGCCCAGCGCCATCAGAGACCGGTGAAGCCGTCCGCTTTCCACAGATGCCAGCGGTGGGCCCCCATCTCCGCTTGCCTCGCCCCCACTGCCCTCAGGAAGCCAATTCTGTGAGAAGGCACCACAACACCATGCTTTCAGCCAGGATAAACATTTCACTCTACATCAAATGGTAAACAGTAGACTGAGCACCACCTCTTGACAAGACAACCAACCAAACCACCCACCCACCCTGTCCAGAAAGGCAAGAGGCCCTGAGGGTGAAGATTAAGTAACATAAGGGACATCTCGAAACACAAAAACACCCCAGCCTGGTGGTTTGGATTTCACACCACCACTCTGTTCACGGAATGTGAACCCACCACCAGACAGGATGGTAACTGCATTACTAATGCTATTCATCTAGGAATATCCGGTTTCCCTTTTGAATGCTCCAGGGATGCTTCAGTACCTTGAAGTTGGGAATCCTGTGATGAACAGGTCGGGGAAAGTCAGCTAAATTTTGTGATTCCATGTAGTCCCAGATCTGCTCACGAATGTCCTGTTTCGAAATACCTATCCCAACAAGGGTGTGACTGGTTAATACAGCAGAAAGGAATTCCACAGCGCATGCACCCCAGGTCCTATCGCATGCCTGCTCCAGCTGCACCCTCCCCTCTCTGTAGGACAGACCAAGACCCTGGGCTTCTCATCTCTACATCGTAAAATCACGGTTAGTGATGAGCTCCACACTCATGATAAATCGCTAAAGTCCAAAAACAGAGTAAACTCAATATAATCCCAATGTTAATCCAGTTCTACTGACCTGCAGCAGAACAAAATGCAACTCAAACCAGGCTACCCAGCATTCCCAGGGATGCAAGTTCTGCTCAGTCAGGACACTGTCAGTTAGCACTATTTAGTCTTGAAATAACTATGATTAGTTTACCCTTGCTGTAAATCCAGTAAGCTCACCTTAACTCTAAGTGATTTGTAAACTGGTTATTATTTGGGGATACCAACTACAACCCCTTTGTTAGTGTGGGAATTTTTTCTTCTATATCCAACTTTGGATATGCAATTTTAGGCAACAAATAAACCAGCACTTTCATACAGACAAATTTAAAAATGATCACTGAACTTTTGTTTTTGTTGCTCCAAATCTTGTATGCAAGTTTGTTTCAAATCACTTTGCTACCTACTACTTGGCTTGTTTTCATAACAATTTATTATACGGCCAGCATTGTGAATTATGAAGCAGAGAGTTTCTTATGTGATCATCTCATTCACTGGTATACTCCTTCTACCAAACCAGAATTCAGTGCCCAAATATAACTTCCAATGAAGAAGAGTGCTATCCATCTATCAATGAGTATCTTTAATATTCCTATGCCACCCAAAAGTACCCGCAGGGATATATGAACATCATGCTTAGGGGATGTGCATCCCTGACAATGGCAGCAAAAAGGTGACCTCTCCTTTTCACAGAACGTAGATGGTGCTCACCATAACTAAACACACCCAGACCGTGACCCTAGTTTCTACACAGAGCGTGTGGCTGGGCACCTCTCATCACACAGGCAGGGAGGAGGGGCAAGTTTAACTTCTCAGGTCCTCAGTCTCCCTTAAATTCATGGAGGCTGCTCAAAAGTAACACAAGGGGGCAGTCCCATGGCCGGAGAAAGCAGGGAGTCACCTGGCTGGTCAGTGGGATGGGGCTGGCAGATGGGTTCTCACCATAAACATTTCTGAATTGCGTGGCTGTGAATCATTTGAATTACATTTTAATAGCTTTTTTTTGGTAAACAGATTTTTAAAACATACAAAAAGATCTAAAATGAAAAGCCTCTCTCCTCACTGTCTGCCAGGTACCAGGTCCTTCCCCCAAGGCAATCAGTGCACCTGTTTCTTCCAGTGAATTCATGCCCAGGTATCTCAGGCTTCACACAGGAGATATTTCTGTTCTCACTCTTGTTCTCTTTTCCTCAGAGAGTGTACTATCTATACAGCTACACACACTGCTTTGCACTTTGTTGTTTTTACCTAATATCTTGCAGATTAGTCCATATGACATATAAAAAGCATCTTCATGTTTTTTGCAGTTACATAGTATTCCACTATATGAACAGGTCCAAATTTACTCAAGCAGTCCCCTACTGATGGACAGTAAGTAGGTGTTTTCCACCTTTTGTTACTGATGTATGCTTTTACATCCCTCCGCCCTTTTTATACCAGTCTGTTAACCCTCTATGTGTAGTTTTAAGATTTAAGGGCCACAGCTAAAGGTTTCCACTGCTTTTGTCCTCAGGCCTGGCGGGAGAGGGCTAGGAGGGAGGTCCTCGGGGAGACACCGCATCCTTGTTAGGTGCCTGTTGTTTGTTCATGGAGCAGTGTGCATATAAGGCCCTTCCCACTTTCCCAGCCAGACCCCTGTCATTCCTCACTTCAAATTCAAAAAATGGCTCAACTACTGTTAGTCCCCAGCCTCACACACCTGCCCACCTCTCTCTCTCTCTCTCTCTCTCTCTCTCAGGTTTTAGTATTTCCTCTCCTCTCCTTTCGCCTCCTCCCAGGTCCAGCCCCTTCTCTTCCTTCAGGACTTGCTGAGCTGCCACCTCCCCCAGAAAGCACTGTTTGAGTGCTCAATCGCAGACAGATGACCTTCCTTTAAGAACCCAGAGGCCCTGGCAGGGTAGCTCGGTTACTTACGAGCATGGTCCTGATATACCAAGGTTGTGGATTCATTCTCCTGTCACAGCACATACAAAATGCAACCAACAAATGCATAAATAAAGGAAATAACAAATCAATGTCTCTCTAAAGTCCATTTTTAAAATAAAATAAAAAAATAACCCATTGCTTGTTATTTTTTTCAAACAGAAACAATTCCATTGATACAACTATCAGAAGGCTATTACATGATCACTTTCACTAACCCAGAGGGCCTACAATATCCCCAACACTGTGCAGGATACCCTGTGGGACACAAGAAATGAAGAGTCCATTAATCACAAACATTTGAGTGACTCCCATTTAGAAAGCAATGGGCTCATTGGGAGCAGGGAGAGAATAAAAGGGCACGTCCCTGCCCTTGGAAAGTTATGAAAACACAGGAAATGATTAGGATAATAAAAGGCGACATATATTAATGTGCGAAATGCCTGAACCCTTTTCTGTGGTTGCCAGTCAGGTCAGCTTGGGTTTCACTCTTCTTCCATCTCTAGCTCAGTCCTGGCATTTGACAGGCATCCCCAAAAATCTTGGGTTTTTTTTCCTTCTCATCCCACTGTATTAACAGCAATTGTTCTGTGCAGTGTACATGCCGCGCGTGTACCAAGGACAGCAGTGGCAGGCCCTGGCGCAACGTGAGCTCGGGTACGCTCTTTGCCAGGCAACCCTGCGACCTCTCCCCAAAGCCCGGGGCTCGGCGGAGCCTCCCCAGCGCCTGGTACATGGAGGCCTCACGCAACATCTAACAGGCCAGTGATGAAGGGCCCCAGTGCTTCGGTTAAACTGGTGTCCAGTCCTGCCCCTGCCAGCGACTGTGGGCCTCAGTTTCCCGCGCTGTAAAGCGGAAATGACCTGGCAGGGCAGATCTCCCGGGAGTAGCGGTGATGATGCTACGGAGCCACGGACACCACCACCTGCCCAGCTGGCAGCCCTCCTCTGATCGCATTAGCTGGGTATTCCGCCGCGGGCTCGACCCCGGGCCCCACCACACCCCTCCGCGTCCCCCGCCCGCCTTCCCGTGGGCCCTCTGTCTGTCCCTCGTGGGCCCTCCGCGCCCGCGCCGCCTGCCCCGGGCCCCTCACCCGCCCTGGCCTCCATGGCGATGCCGTCAGCGCGCGACACCACGCGGGCGGGGTCGACGCGGAGTGACGTCACCGCGTGCGCGCTCCCCCGCGCCTGCGCGCTGGCGGCAGAGGGACGGCGGCGTCGCCGAGGAGGCCTGGCGGGAGCGGGTCAGCCGGGAGGTCTGCGGGGGCGCGCACGTCCGCGGGCTTGTGGTTTTCTCCGTGGAGCAGGCCCGCATCGAGCGCCAGCCGGGAGCGTTTGCGGGCGCTGGGGCACGGAAGTGAACAAGCCCCTGGCCTCTCGGCGCCCACTGCCAGTTCCAAAACCCCGCCTCCTCTTTCCGGCTCCAGGGCTGCCTCCTCCGGGAAGCCGCCTTGATTGCCCCTCCAGGATGAGCGTCCTCTCCTCTGAGACCAAAGACCTGGCTCAGTCGGGGGTACCTGTGTAAAATGCCAGGTTGCTGGGATGGAGTTCATTGGGTCTGGGGTCTGGAAGCTGGCTCTGAGGCCGCCCTTTGGGCCCACACCCCTTAGATTTTTACCGTGGCCTCTGCATCTCCTGGAGACTGGAAAAACGTGGCAGTCTGCATTTGTTTTCTGCATCATTCACTCATTTGTTCTCTCATTCATTCAACACACAGGATGAGTCCATCAAAAGGCCAAATGGACAACCAAGTCCATGGCCTCCCTGCCTCCAATCCAACTGGAGAGATGAGGAGGAGGGTCAGCTTGGCTGTGCATTCACCCATGAGAAAGATAATCCCTTCCCTCCAAACAAGGGGGGGACCAGCCACTAGTAACCCCTCCCTGGGAGTGATTTCATACCCTTAGCAACATGCATAGTGCATCATAAGCACTCAAGAAGTGGTACCTGCTTTTCAAAATTATATATCCAATACTTTATACAATCCTCGCCACAAATCTGTAAAATAGACAAAGCATTTTAATACCCACTTTACAGATATGAAAATTGAGTTTCCGGGTGTTCCAATGACATATTCAGGGTCTCATGGAATTGATCCTATGCCATTTGCTTTTATCAGATAGGACATACTTAATCACGGTAATAAACAATGCTACTAATGTGCCAGGCTCTGGGCTAAGTGCCATGGAGTTCATATCTAAATATAATCCCCACAACTATAGGTGACAAATGTGACTGGCATTCTACTAAGGAGGAGACAGAAACTCAAGATGTTGAAGAACCTTAGCCAAAGTCACCCAAATGGGAAGGGACAGAGCATGATGTAGCCCTGATGTAATTATTGCAAATCTGTGGCTCCTGGTCACAACGTTGCATACCTAGGTGGTGTCCATAGCATTAATATATAAAGACATTAACAGGCCTCAATGCTACATGAAAGTGGCCATGTGTTTTACCAAGCTTACAAAGGGAGTACAAGCATCGTTTTGGACAATAGGAGGTTATAAAATGAAATCTCTCAGAGAGGTTGGGTGTCCTTCCCCACTTTTAGGAAAACACAGTAGATCTGTGGAAAGTATTTTATGCGAGTTGACCTGGCCCCAGCAATGGAAATGTGCAAGTCTCACTTAGCCAGTTGTACTCCGAACAGAGACCAGGCTGATAACCAACAGCCTAAGTCCCTCTGGTGGCCAAGCTGGCATGTCCCCACTGATAGTAACAAAACACTGAGGACAATATATCCCAGTGGCAATTTTACAAAGCAGATGGAGCCAGAGGAAAGGACATTCCACTTCGCTCTTTTACACCAGGTTTTCAAGTTAGAAGTACCCCCCAAAGTCCAGGCACTTAAAAGAATAAGTAACTATAAAAGAGACACCTTGGAAGAAATTAGCTGGCTCTCTTGTAAAAAGATATTCTAGACCTTGAACCCAAATGCCTCAAACTTGATTATACATGGAAATTTGCATTTGGTCACTTGAGAACTTTTAAAAATACACTTCATTGTTTAGAGAAGTTTTAGGTTCAGAGCAGAATTTAGAGGAAGGTACAGAGAGTTCCACGTACCCTCGGTTCCTCCCCACACGATCTCCCCCACTATCAACACCCTCCACCACAGCGTACCTTTGTTGAAATGGATGAGCCTACATTGACACATCGTTATCCCCAAACCCATACGTGGGAATCTAATCCCCAATGTGATGGTGTTAGGAGGTGGGTCTGTGGGAGGTAAGGACGTCATGATGACCGAGCCTTAATAAAGGGACCCCACAGAGCTTCCTAGCCCCTGTCACCTTTGAGGACACAGTGAGAAGAAGGCTGTCTATGAACTAGGAAGGGGACCCTCACCTTGATCTTGAACTTCCAGGCATCCAAAACCGAGAGAAATAAATGTTTGTTGTTTAAGCCACCCAGTCCATGGCATTCCTGTTATGCAGCCCCAGCTGAGAGGCGACCAAAGTCCACAGTTTACATGAAGGTTTATCTCGGTGGTGTACATTCTGTGGATTTGGACAGATATATAATGACATGTATCCACCACTGCAGTATCGTACAGAGTAGTCTCACTTCCTTAAACACCCTCTGTGGTCCATGTGTCATCCTTCCCTCCCTCTGACTCCTGACAAACACGATCCTTTCACTGTCTCCCTAGTGTTGCCTGCTCCAGATTGGCATTGAGTTGGAGACACAGCATGTAGCCTTTTCCGATGGCTTCCTTTCACTTAGTAATATTCTTTAAGTTTCCTCCATGTGTTTTCAGTGCTGAGTACTATTCCACCGTCGGGGTGTACCACAGTTTATCTGTTCACCTCCTGAAGGACATCGTGCTTGCTTCCAAGTTTTGGCAATTATGAAAAAAGCTGCCATAAACATTGGTGTGCAAGTTCACGTGAGGATTTTAAAGCCGGTCACAGGCATTTCCTTATGCACTCTCATGAGTCCTTTAGAACCTGGCTAGAAGAAATGTAGTGGAAAGGGTAAGCAGGTGAAAACCTTGGTCACGGAGCGCTGTGTGACTCTGGATAATTAGCGCCACCTCTCTGAGCTTCAGTTCCCTCTTCTGTAAAATGTGGGGAAATGCTTCCTCCACACGAGTCGGTGAGAGGATGGAGTGGGCTGGGACATTGGGCGTCTTGGCACAGCCCTGCCCAGCCCTCAGTGAGCTTGTTAGAGACGTTCGCGTTCTCTGTTCCACAACAACCTGCTCGGTGGACAGGAGAAGGAGGCGTTGAGAGATGAGGTCCAGGGACTCACCCAAGGTGCTGGGTGCTGAGAGCTGAACCTCTCCCTGCGTGTGCTTCTGAAATGGCAGGTATGGGCATAAAACATTAACCATCACATCGGGCTTTCTGCTCTCTGACCTCCCTGCATCACACTCACGTGCACAATTCCTCAAGCACTATAACAAAGAAAAAGTGAATAATTGCGCAACAACGAAGGCTGGATCCTGAGACGCTAGAGGATTCCCTTCCACGTTCAGACGTTCCTCTGTCAACTGGCTCTGCTCTGAGCTCTGCGCACTCTCTCATCCGGGGATCAGGTGAGCCCGTCCCATCAGCACCTGGCATTTCACAGGAGATGCCTTTGGCAAAACAAGGATGCCTGAAGGGTCACCGTGATGCCTTGCCATTCCCACTGCCACCACCCAGGCCAAAGATGTCACTCACCATGCTCCAGACTGCACCGCCTCTTGCCTCCCCACTCTGCCCCCTTCCTGGGTCGTCTTCTTCCCCCTCCTCCTTCTCCTCTTCCTCTTTCTTCTTCTCCTCTTCCTCTTCCTTGTCCTGATCCTCATCTTCATCTCCCTCCTTCTCCTCCTCATCTTCTCTTCTTCCTCCTCCTCTCCCTCTGCTTTCCTTTCTGGCCCTCCGTCCTCCCGAGCCCCACCCGTGCACCTTCTAGCTGTGACCTGCGGCTCCCCGCTGCCTCCACCGGGCAGATCACACCCCTCTCCCCTGGACGGCGCAGGCCTTGCTGGTCTGCCTCAGCGCTCGGCCAAGCGACCCCCTATCAACTCAGCCCTGCCCTTCTCCTCCTGCCGGGTTTTGTTCATGCTTTTTCCAT